GAGACAAACACCATGTAGATTGGGTATAGGTTGAGTTGTTAAGTGCTGTCTAGTCCTTTCAGACTCATATCGACCCTGTATAGCGTTTCCAAGGGGTGGCTGGTGAGTTGGAACTGCTGATCTGCAGTTCAAACCCACCGTGCAGTCTAGTGCTTATCCTAGAGCACCATACCAGGACTCCATTTCGTAGATGGCTTAATAGAATTGTGACTTTCCAAGGTCACACAGACATAGGGGTCAAAGCTGGGATTTAAAACACATTTTTAACTCTAAATCTTCATCACTAATAGATTGTGCTCTTTGCAAAGTTATTATGAAGAGTATCATTAATATGTGTAAAGAGCCTTGTCCAGAGACTGGTGTGTATTAAACATGCAATAAAAGATGATACTATGTTTGTTATTGTTATCGCTGTTATTATTACTATGGTTATTATTATAACCACTACTGCTCCTGCAGCTGCTATCCATGCCTGATCTGAAGAAGGACCAGGGGACTAGAGGATGGGATATATTTAGCTCTGGTTCAAGTTAAATCAACACAGAAATGCAAAGAGAGTAAACTAAGCTCTCCCTTGATTCTGAGACTATTCACATGTTGATGTGTGATTGAGTGAGTGATTTAAATGTCATTGTGAACCCAATGGCGTAGTATAACATCATGTTAAATAACATAAACTAACATAATAGTATCTGTCTATGGTTTTAGTGTTTGTGGCACTGTAGGTTAAGTAGTGTACCACTAACCTCAAGGTCAGCAGTTCGGATCCGTCTGAAACCCTATACAAGGTCGCTATGAGTTGGAACTAACTGAATGGCACTAACAGTGGTCTTAGACATAATTCATTGAGATGCTTTTGTTTAGAAGGAATAGGGCTTAAAACATTTTATTTAATGTGTCTTTAGATGTTGAACATTTTTAACCAAATGATATTTTGATGTCTTTGAATAGACACTGCTAATTCCCCTCTTCCTGTAACTACTGTGAAATCAGTCAACTTTAGACAAAGTGACAAGTAAGTTTTTCTTTATGTAGCATGCTAATAATTTGCCTCTACTATTGGGTTATGTTTCAACTAAATGCTTTTGTCTTCTTCTGCAGCATTTCTGCTAATGAGAAGGAGGTGGAGGTGAGTTTAAAGTAGAATGTGTTTTTCTTTATTAAAAGTGTTGCAAACTCACCATTTTCAGTTGTGTCATAACTTTTACACAAAGTCTCATCTGGTGTCTGTTTGGCTTGGCAATGGATGAGTGCAGGTACAGTCTATGCATGTCAGAATTATGTTGCTGGGAGAGTAAGAAAAGCCTCAGGATAATTTTGTATTAAACTGAAATATCGACCATATCGCATTTTCTCTCCTCTCTCCTACGTTATTTTGACAACAGGCTGAATTTCTCAGATTATCTTTGGGATTTAAATGTGACTGGTTTACCTTGGAGAAAAGAGTGAAGCTTGAAGAAAGGTCCCGTGACCTCGCAGAAGAAAATTTGAAGAAGGAAATCACAAACTGTTTAAAGCTATTAGAGGTTAGACTCAGAATATTTGGGGACTCCATGTGATTGTGTTGTTAGTAGTGTTTACATAATTATATATGAATTTACATGTATGACTAGTACCAAGCCTTGCCTGACCTAACTGTGAATTGATTAGGTCAGTTGTTGTTAAGTACCTTTACATTGGTTGCTACACATAACGACCCTTTATAGGGTTTCTGAGGAGCAGTTGATGGGTTTAAGCTAACCTTGTGGACAAGAACTAAGAATCCAGGATCAAGCTAAAGCAAATGATAAGCTAATATGAAAGTATCCAGCAGTTAAGCAAACAAACAAAAAATGCCTTTCAAAGTAGATTACATGAGTCATCTGCCTTCTTGTTAGATTTTTCAGGTAGATTTCAGGTAGTTGGGAAATCAGGCAGAAAACGGGGCAAATGGAGAGAATAGCAATTTTAAGCTTCATTGAAGATAATAAAAAAATCCATTTAGGATTAATCGAGGAAAGAGAATGATGACTGATTGCAATTTTGTCAGATGATGGGCAAATCCTTTTTATGATACTGACAAGAATGAGGGGATTGTGTCCCTGGGTTCATAGAAGTATAACAACTACTGCTATCCTTCCATCTTCTGAAGTTACCTTAAATGTAGAAACAGGGTGGGAAACTTAAAAAGGCTACTTTTGCATGAAGAAAATAAAAACTGAGAAAACTGTATCCTGCTTTGCCGACTAATACCTGTTCTTGCTTTCCCAGTTGGAGGTGGTATAGTGGATTAAGTGTTGGGCTACTAACCACAAGGTTGGTGGTGCAAACGCACCAGCTGTTCTTGGGAAGAAAGATGAGGCTATCTGCTCCTATAAAGATTTACAGTCTTGGAAACCATAAGGAGCAGTTCTTCTGTTTTTACAGGGTCACTAGGAATTGGAGTCAACTCGATGGCAGTGGGATTTTGGGGGGGGGCGGGGTGGATACTTAAACCACAGTAGGAAACTGTGTGTGTGACAACACCCTTCCAACTGGCTAGCAATTCCCAGACAGTAACTTATGCATATATGTCTGTTTCATTTAGTACCTAGTCTGTAACAGGCATTTGGCATCTATTACCTCTATTGTCATAAGGAACTCTGGTAGCATAGTGGTTACAAATCAGGCAGCTAATTGCACAGTCAGCAGTTCAAAACTACCAGCTTTTCCATAGGAGAAAGATGAGGCTTTCTGCTCCCGTAAAGATGTACAGCCTCGGAAACCCTGTACACGGTCACTATGAGTCAGAACTGATTCCACGGCACACAACAACAACAACAACCTCTAATGTCATGGTACTTCTGGAAAGGAGCTGAATCATCTCCATCTGACAGATGAGGAAGTAGCAAGCATTAACATTTCTGAAATTAGGATATGATTACAATCAATGGTGCCTTGTGGTTTTATTGGCAGTGCCTTTTCCTTTTTGATTGTATATGAATTAATGGTGCCTCTTATAGTCCCAGTAGTGCTGTAGGATCAGCTCTGGACTGCTAACCACAAGGTGGGCAGTTCAAACCCACTAGTTGCTTCTCAGAAATCCTGTAAAGAGTCACTATGATTGAGAACAGACTCAAAGGCACTTAACAACAACAACAGTAACAACAGTTTACAATCTGTGGCAGTTTGGATTTGGACAAGTCTTAGAAATTTGCTTATGGTCACAGAGCTTAAGAGTATTTGTACCAAAAATGAATCCAGGCTTGTTTGCTTCAGACTGCTGCTCTCTTTTTAATTCTGTCTCTACCAGAGAAAAGACTATCATCTTGAGTTAAGGACACAGGTTCAAGAAGAGCATTCATAAGCCAGTAAAGGGATCCCCACCTAGCCAGCCCAATTGTACATTGTCATTGACGGAAGAGCAAATGTCGCAATCAGAGCATGTCTACCTCTAGTATATTTGCACTTCTTTGCTCAAAAGTTCAAACTGTACTCCTCATGTGATACATTCATTCATTTATAAGCATAATCTCTTCACCATTACCACTTAATTGTATCACATCCTATCACACATAAAGATATGAACCCACAAGAGAGTGGGAAATTTGGGAACTATAGAAGGAAGGAATCGGAAATAGACATAAAAGGTTATGCATAGTCTACTAGAGACCCAGCAAAGATAGTATTTTCATATTATTCATTTCTGGTCCTTCCTGCTTTTTATCCTCCACCAAGCTACTTGAGATTTGACGATGCATCTGCATTTATAATTTAGTGCTAGAATTACTTCTTGGATTGTTGTTGTTTGGGGCTGTCAAGTTGGTACTGACTCATAGCAACCTTTTGCACAACAGAATGAAATGCCACCTGGTCCTGCACCAACCTCACAATCATTGCTACACATGATCTCACTATGGAGCTGCAGCCCCTATGCCAATCCATCTCATTGGGGGTCTTCCTCTTTTTCAGACTATTTGGATTAGATACATTTTAATATTTTCTTCTCTGTGCAGTCTTTGACACCTCTTTGTGAAGAAGACAACCAGGCCCAGGAAATCATTAAGAAGCTGGAGCAGAGCATAGCTTTTCTTAGCCAGTGTGCAGTTCGAATGGCCAGTAGGGCTGAGATGTTGGGAGCCATTACTCAGGTAACCTGCCTCTGTTTCTGTAGTTACAGTGAAATGACTAAGCCGATTTGCTTTCTTTGAATTTATGGATTACAATCCTAAGAAGTTTGGGAAAGTATTCATTATTGTATGACACTCATAGTTAATGTAGGAAAAACTGAATATACAAATAAAAAGGTTAAAAAAAATCCCTTGTTAGCCAGAGACAATCATTATGAAGATATTATGATACGACTTTCTAGACTCTTGACAGTTTATGCTGAGATGACTCCAGCTCCTGCAACTTTCTGTATAATGGAAAGAAATGATACCCAGGTCTGCATTATCCTAACTCTGTCAACTTCAAGTTCAGTATGTGGTTGCTCCCTCTGTACAAAGTTATAATCTACTACTTTTTCATTCAACATACAGCATGGACAACTTTCTACCTAATACAATTTTTACGCATGTATCCTCATTGCGTGGCGTTCTGTGGATTGGCTAGATTATAAATTATTTAACTAACTCCCAAGAGTTAATCATTTAAAATGTTCTTGCTATTTTGACATAATAAGTAATGCTACTATAAATATCCGTTTACTCTTGTTTTTGTTTCTGGTTTTTTT